ACTCAGCAAATTTTAGTTGTCATAAATAACTGGGTTTAATGTGCGTCAGGGTTGACGCTGATTCCAGTACCTCCTCCGTTCTCACACGTATCCATTAAGCCGACGGTGGAAATAATCAAAACGTGTTACAAAATTAACAGCCGATGTCGTCGTTCGCATAATAAGGGCGTGCGATTCAGTTGTAAATGTAAGCGTCGGGCGAAACTTTACACAATAAGGCAATCGCCGTGAAATGCGACGAAAAACGCGAATGCGACGCCTTGGCCGAGGCGCGGTCGGGAGAGCGAAGCGACGAGTTGAAGCCCTCTATGGCGGCCGCGTCACTTGATTTCAAGATGGCAGTGCCCATGCGACGGAAGCTGAAAAGGTCTATAGGAATGCAACACCACTATTCGATTTTTAGTCACTGTTCCTATTCTCCTGATATACAGGGTGTTTGTTATTTTTTTTATCGAATAAGGGTCTTTAATAAAAATTTGAGGCTCCAATCTACGCCGTGAAGGGGGTTAGACAGCGAAGCTGTGATATCACTTGTAACAATTGCCCACTGCACTATAGACTCCTTTTATGGCAAACGCCACCAGGTGGTGCTCCAGTTTTTGACGTCCCAAAGAACTTCCGGTTTATATGAGGAATGAACGGTCGAAAGCGGAACTACTTAAGTTTTTGCGCTCGTTACGTCGAGAGAGCCTTCATATAGACAAACGTCATTTTTATTTCGATAAGTGATCTCCCCTTATTATTTAAACCTCTCATGAACGTATGTACGAAACTGCACCCCGAATTTCGCCAGTGTCAATGGCTGACATCTGTAGCTACTGTGTGACGTCACAAAACTCCAAGGTTTGTCGGATGGTCGGGATAATAAGCGTTGGTCAATGGATGTATTGTGTTTTGTTTTGAATCGTAGGCGGTACCCTACAGAAATACGTTACTTTTAATCAAGTTCCCAACCTTTTGCAAACAAAATAAAGAAAAAAAGTGTCACATTTTAGCAGGATATTACCAGAAAACAGCCATATGCTTCGAGCAAACGTATGCCATTTCGCGCAAACACAGCTATGACGGCCACCGATCGAACTAGGAGCGCTTGCAAAGCAAAATATGCAGATTTTGCCTCTGAAGCGGCACCTAGGTGCACGAAGCGGCATCTCGGTACACATATCGACGGTTCCACTGGACAGGCGATGAGGCTGCGGGCCGTTTCTTCGGAGGCGATATCCGCTGGTCGAAGGCAAACGGCGAATCGTTCAAATGCATGTCGTCACTTGACTTGGACGAGCTCGGTGAATCGTAGCCACGCTCCATTTTCACACGCGAGTCAAACAGTGTTTTACTGCATGCGTGCTGAATACAACTTTTGGAATCGTTTCCAGATGGCCTAGCTGTTGGTTTCGTTTTTGCTGTATAATCAAACCGAGTGATCTGATTTGGGTAGGAGTGGGTGGACGTAGTTTAATAACACTGCAGCAAGGCATCCCACCTCAGCTTATGAGTCTTTTGTCCGCTTAGAGCTCAGGTCGTAGCTCTCTTCTGTGAGATGATTGCTGCATAAGCGGGATCTCGACCATGAAGGGAACCCAGTCCTTACGTACGGTGACGATTCATTTCGTTCGTCACTGCACGTCTCACGGAAAAGTGTGAAACGTCACATCTTGGCTCGCAGGTGCTGCCTGGCGGTTGTGGCACCCAACCGCGCGACAAAAATTTCCCCCTTCCACGAAACAAGTCGAGCGCAACAACAAAACGAAGCACGCTGCGGCGTTCACTCGGAGACAAACGACGAGACGGAAATGCTCGATTTGGGTTGTGTGACGTGAGAGCTCCAATGTGGCCAACGAAATCAACGTTTACGCTAGGATGCGATTGGAGCAGTATAAATTCAATTACTCACGCAGAAGGGCATATAAAAGTTAAATATCAAACGTACGATGCGTCTCGAGGCAATAAAAATACTATTCAATTGTTTTCTCGAATTTAAAATTCGCATTCATATGGTAATTAATTAAAATTCGACCGAACAATCCCTTTAACACCGCTGCTTAAAGTGTAGATGAAACGATTGACCACCAATTCTCCAGGTGAACGCCAAAAGAACGAGGCAGTGCGAGATCTGATAAAATGTTTCGGGTATTCTTATAAACCAACTTGCCTCCTCCAAGATGTAATATTGTACAGCCGAAGGCCCTCGTTAAATCTCCAACTTTGTTGTCCGTGTGGCATTTACGCTTTCTAGCACTGGTGACATAAGCAAGGTCAACAGGCTTGCAAAGACGGTGTGACCGGAAGTCGGTTAGGACGCAAGCGGCAATTCATGTTTATAAACAGCAAAAGGGTCTATACTAAATGATTGACGGAAGAAAAGGAAATTATCTAAAGCAAAACGTTTTTATATATGAAAGACTTCGTAAGCTGCCGCTACCGCGGCAGCTTCTGCAACCGCAATCTTTACCGCGAAACGCATGCGGAAAGCGCTACGTTTTTATCATCTATCACGTGGTCTTGGCCTTGTTTTGTGGTTTTTTCATTGAAACAAGTGTCAAAACCGCATGATAAGAGATATTTGACGGCATGATGGCGCTTAAGACGAGGACAAAAGGGAGACTAGACAACACGGAGCGCTCCGTGTTGTCTAGTTTTCCTTTTGTCCTTGTCTTAAGCGCCATCATGACGTCAAATTCTCAGTACAAACTAGCCCAACAATCTGCATTGATAAGAGATAAGTCGCGCGCGATAGTTTTCTGTTTACTATTCTTTTGACTACTGTTCTGCCGACGGACACGAAAAAGCCCGACCAACGAGTCATATACAGCTTCGCTTTACAAATAAACCATGAAAGGCAGACATCATGTTCAAGAGAAAATGCAATAGATGAGTAATTAACAAAAATTAACTAATTACTTTTAGAGCACAGCTCTTAGACGCGCGTTTCCGGCTTGAGCGCCGCCGCCGTCGCTGTCGGCGTAACCGCGCGTTGCATTATGGGACGTTTCCCATAAAGGCGTTACACGGGACGTCCTGTATGACGTCACGAGGGTCATGAGTGACGTCACGAACGTCACGACCTTTACTGCGAAGGTCACGTGAAGGTCACAACCTTCACGTGACTCTCACTCATGAAGGTCACGACCCTCACGAGGCCTTCACGGGTGACGTCACGGGGGTCACTAGGTCCACGAGTGATGTCACGAGAGAGGAGGGAGAGGAGGAGGAGGAGGGGAGGAGAATGAGAGGAGGGGAAGGAAGAGGAGGGGAGGAGGACAGGGTACAGAGGAGGAGGGGAATACCCTTCTCTCCGCACTCTCTCCTCCTCCTCCTCAAGAGCTGCGCTCTGATTCGGCACTACAGGCAATTGTAAACGTCTTTTAATTTGTTTTTAGTAAGACGTTTCAGGGCACAAGTTTAAATCGAAGAATCTGTGTCGATCAATGTTGAAGGCCAGCCCAGTTTATTTGAAAATCCTGAATCCAGAACGAAGTTGGAGTTATTGATAGTCAAATTTCGTTCTAAAAATGTGTCGGTACTGAACCTTAACGCACGATGCCCGCCGGAATGGCAACCCTCGTTTGACGGTGGAGGGTCACGTGGTAATGACGAAGTTTGCGTCGCTATTTGTCGTCACAGCACGCCGGCGCTGATTGCAGTCTGCGTCCCGTAGATGGCGAACTGAAGCGATAAGCCAACTTATTGGTCACTACAAGTTGCTTTCATTTGCTGGGCAATGTCACTAAAATACGTCTTAATCATTAAGGCGAGTTATGTTTAAAAAGCAAAACAAAAAAATCACGAACATAATTTATTTCAGAAAAAGCGAATACTTCCACGCGTTTTGACGTAAAAGTGACGCGAATTTCGACATTAATACGTGACCCTCCGGCGTCAAACAAGGGCTGCCCTTGCGAAGGAGCATCGCGCGTTTGGTTTCGGTATCGATAGATTTCCGAAACAAAATTTGACAACGAATAACTCGAAATGCGCGCTCGATCCAGGACTTTTAAAAACTGGGCTGGGCCTGGAATATTGACTGCCTTCATTTTTTCAATATAAAGATGTGCCACATAACGTCTAACTAAAAAAAAAAAAAAAAACGAAAAAAAACAACGTAATTAGATCATTTTTGTTGCTTGCTGCTCTGGTAGTTGCATTCTCTCTCGAACATAACATCCGCCGGACCATATAACTCACTTGCGCAGACGGCATTTGTGTAGCTTCCAAGACTTTTTTTTTAATTTGTATTTGATAGAAAATGAAAAAAATAAAACAACACCCTGTATATTAATTCAAACAGGCGAAGCAAGTGACAATCCTAATAATAATTAAAAGAAACACGGAAGAAAATGCTACATCAGCTGCATCGACCGCGGTGAATGAACGATAGCAGTAATTCTGGTTTGCTTTTCACGGCAAATAATGTAAAAGCTACGTGCCAATTTCAGATTCTAAGTACTATTGGGCATTCGGAAACATTTACTTTTTATCGTTTCGTTGCTTGTTTCATCATCATCTGACACAGCGGCTGTCCTCAATTAAGTGCGCCTTGCCTCCGTTTCTAAAACGCATTCGATGTATTTGCTCGTCACTTCAGTCAATTTAACTTCTACTCGTCTGTCTTTTCCGTTTGTTTAAGCCCTGTTCTTCTAAGTGCAAAAAAGAAAAAAAAAAGAAAATAAAGCGCAAAGCGTAGAACACGTTAATACATCTTTTCAAAGGGACTACGAATGCCATCATCCGAACATATCAGACAGTGCCTCGTTGTGCCAACAATAACGCGGTAGAGAATATAAAACACTATAGCAAAACCAAAAAAGAGGGCAATGTTGTTTGAGTTTCACGCTAGAGCAGCACCAACCCGACAAGCTACACTGGACACCCGACGCGGAGATGGCAATGGCGGCCTGTTAGACGCCGCAACAGTTACCGCACGATATGACGAAGAGGACGAGACAAAGCAAATACCCGCGGGAGAAGAAAGGAAGTGGAGTGCTTTGGATGGTACTTACAACTTTCTATTTCTATAGTGCACGCTTGTCTGTCCATCGGGAAATATCTGAGATCCATTGGACAGCTGGCAGTCACTGTGAGTCTGCGAAAGAAAGAACAAAAAAGCAAGGACACAGTGTTAGCAAAAACAGCAATGGGAGGCGGTAGGATGTTTGTGCAGCGGTTCGGACCGTCGCACGGAACATGCAGATGTCAGTCAAACGAAGCTATGCACCCAGACACCGACGCGGAGAAGGACAAAAGAGTGTTCGAGGACATGGAACACTGAACTTTGGTTGGAACGATTAGTCGGTTTACCTAAATCTAGCTGCCTTTGTTGATACTACACTAGTCGAACGCGTTCGAATGCGAGAGCCAAATGCTGAACGCTGGTGTTCCGAGTTCTAAAGCGTTCAACAAGTGCAGTGGCAACAAAGGGAGCTAGCTTTAGGTCTATACGCATTCATTTTTCAAGCCAGAGCTCGGCGTTCCGACGTCCCCGGCACTCTCATCTCCCCCTCTCTCTCGGTTTCTCGGCGCATATTCACTAATAGAGTGAGAACGGCAGGGAACATCCTTCGAATGCCCTGCCTTTTATCACGAGCTCCAAGCGTTCCCCCGCGCACTGGCGGCGTGCGCGCGTGCTCAAGGCCCAGGAGACGGTGAAGCGTTGCCGAAGGTAGGAAGCTCGCGCTAGAGGCGGGATAACCTAAGCACCTCACTGCTGTTCTGACCTTCTCTGTGACTATGGAGACTCAGTTCAGTACGAGACCCCAAAAGTGGCAAAGAGAATTATTCCAGTCGTATGTCCGTCCTTCCCCAGGTTAATCCGCGTTGCAGTGAGGCATAGAGTGTCCTGAAAAGACCTTCAACAATTAACATGCCGGAAAAATTGGCGCCTGCACATAGAAAGTTTAAGCTCTCACCGAATGTGCACTAAGCAGGTCAGTTTTACCGTGTGAAGGCCCAGTCTTATAATGACAAAAAAAAAATAGAGGAAGAAATTTGCCAAATTCAAGTTTGGCCGCGTTCGCAGACGACCGAATAAGTGACCCCATTTACTTGTAGCGCAATCTCTCGAGGGGCGCAGAGAGCAGACAACAGGATGCGTCGTCTGCTTGCTGCGCCTATCGGTACATGGCGCCACCAGTAAACAGCGATGGCAACTTGGTCGTCTGCGAACGCACTCAAATTTAAATAATGCAGTGGGCACGTGAGCGATGAAAGCGGGCGCTGAGCGGCACCGTCCATAGTAACCCGTACAATGGTGCCTGGAGCGCGTCTCCCACTGGTGTGTTTAGCATCCTACCCCGCCCATACTTCAAAAGGGGTCCCAAGGTGGCAACGAATGACGTCAGAGATGCCGGAGTGTCCTGCTGTCGGATGTCGCGATCTTGGCGGTTTGTCAGGTCGTCGGTGACTATATAGTCAAATTAAGGAACGCAAGACATTTCTTAAAATGCCTCTGCCTCTGTCTCCACTGCACTCATAGAATGCGATTAAACACGGAACGCTGGCGTTTGACTCTAGCATTCGAACGCATTCTACAAGAGCAATGGAGACAAAAGCGGCTAGCTTTAGGTCTACCCACTAATCGATCCAATCAGAGCTCGGCGTTCTGACGTCCACTCTCGTATTCTCCTCTAAGTCAGTTTCTCGGCAGATAAGTGGAATAATAATAAACACTAAATAATTTTGTATCATCCGCAGCTTCCCCCATGCACAATGTAAGGTTCTCCTCGCAGTGTACAAAAAAAAAAAAAAGCTAGTCACTCAGAAGGCACTATTCCAATCCAGCCAGTATTCGCTCAGCGCAACAGGATATATATATAAAAAAAAAGATAATGTTTCACGTACGATGTTCTACTTAATTTTTTTAGAGCGAACGATATATCACCAGACAGAAATATTCAAGGGCCGTCACCACTTGAAGTCACTCCGCTTATCGTGCTTGCTAGTTTGCGTGAATCAGTTCGAATCAAGATATCTTTTTTACCCTCCTGAAAGAGCGAACAGCAGAGGGCTTTCGCGTAGCGACTATTTGCGTAACGCTATGATTATTTTTATTTGAATAATAATGCCGGCCTACTTTTGTGGGCCAAGGCATGTGAGTATATATGTAACATATACAACATCACAGCTCTAGTTATACATGGCTCTTAAAAACATAGCTGAGAAAGAGTAAAAGGCGTAGAGTACAAACGCTTCCCGATAAACAGAAGTAACACTAGGCAAATGTTTAGTCAAATAGATTTAAAACTCCATCTAAGGTGCTGACAAACGAATCGAAGGTGGCACTGCCTGTAATGTTGTGAGGCAAGCCCTTCCAGTCTAGGACAGTTCTCGGTAAGAAAGAGTAGTTAAAAATGTATTTTCTACATTGAACCTCGAGAAGATAATTGTCATGTTTCTGCCGTGTGACTCGACTGAGATTGTACTCCAGATAGTCTTTGAACTTCATTCCAATCTTATCGTGTATTAATTTATACAAAAAATTCAGACGCTTCAGTTTTCTGCGGATCGATAACTGGGTTAATTTGGATAATGTATAAAGAGATGATACAGACGTATGCATGCCGTATGCATTATATATAAATCGCAGTGCCTTTTTTTTGCACTCCCTCAAGTTTGTCAATCAATGACTGCGAATACGGGTCCCATAAAATGTCCGCGTATTCCAATAATGGACGAATCAAAGTAGTGTACGCAACAAGCTTAGTTTCCGGGGTACAATGCCGCATAGTTCTTCGAAGGCACCACAGTTTACGAGACGCGTTTGCGATAATGTTCTCTAATTCCCGTGTCCCACTAGAGCGACAGACAGAGACAAAAGACAGCGACAAGCCTCAAACCCATGCCTCGTGCTCGCGATGGTACCTTTGGCAGGCGTTTAGTCGTTCGGTGCTCGTGAAGTAAGCCCGAACGATTGTAAGCCTACCAAAGCCAGTCTTGCGTGCATGATGCTCGTGTTTGAGCATAGCCTCCTTTATTCTACAAAGCCTCTCAAATCGCAAAAGACTCCGGTTTGAGGCTTGTCGTTGTCTTTTGTTCCTGTCTGTCGCTCTAGTGGGACACGGGCCTTAGTGAACAGACCAGCTCAAAGTAGAAGTGATGGTAATGCCTAAATATTTATAAGAAGTGACATTTTCCAAAGGTACTGAGTTGTTAGAATAGCAAAACAAAATTGGAGACTTCTTTGGTGTTACTGTCATTTGCACGCATTTTTTTACGTTCAAATTCATCTGCCATGCTTGACACCAGGAAAACACAAATTGTAGGCTACTGTCCAAACATAATTGATCGAAAGTGCATGTCACTTTGGCAAACAAAACACAGTCGTCGGCGAAAAGACGGCACTGAATCCCGGGCTTATCTACACGCATATCATTTATAAACACAGAGAAGAAAACCAAAGGACCGAGCACCGATTACATAACTTATCCTTGAATAACCATCTTTGTCTCCATCGGTACGTAAAATTTAGCCACCATTTTGCTTTGGACTCGTTTTGATCCGAGTTGCTCAAGTCATCATGATGTTTGAATACGTTAACAATAATTTGAGAGTCAGAGCATTACTTATGCGATGCTGTACCCACCAAATATTTTCTTTTCTTCTTTACAATATTTTGAGCCATTAATGTACAAAGACACTTATATCATCCCGGCTTGCTTTCTATTAGGATAAGCTTTATTTGAAGTTAATGATGGCTTGCCACAGCTGCGAATGTCGTTAGTTTGTCAGCGTCGCGGATTTGTATTGTTTTACAGGTACTAACTAGGGCAATAAAAACAATACGCGATGTAACGATGTGAAACTCTTGACAATACTGTTTCATAGAATAACTTCAAAATACATGGCCGAAATAAAGAAATAAATAAAAAAAAAAAACGCGTTTCTTAGAATTCACTTTTCGGGAGAACGAAACAATATACAAGTTCCGCAAGTCGTTAAATCATAAGAGGTCTTCTTTATGGAAAATGTCGTCAACTAAAAATGCGTGATTTGCAACAGAAAAGAACGGAAAGAATTGATATGGGCTTGACACTGCAAATTTAGAATGGCGCACCAACTACTGAGCAATTTATACTTCACAATTTCAAGTTCCTCTTTTCAACTCAGTCTCTTTGTCTACCAACAAAAATACACCCGCGACAAAACAAAAAAAAGTAAAAGAAAATGATCGAGACCTTGACCTATTCCAACGATGCGATTCCATCCAGGAAAAAAAAAAAAAAGATCATTAAATACGAAATTAAAGCAGTCACTTTTAACGGCTGCTGCCAAAAAAGGTTACTGGGAAAGAAAACACTAACTAATAAGGAACAAAAAAAAAAAAAGAAAAAAAGAGAGAGACAGGAGGACGAGGAAAAAAAAAAAAAAAACGAAAGACTAGGAGGCATAAGGCAGCAAGAAGGTGGCCAGACGCGCCATCTCTCCAACAACCAAAAGAACTAAATAGAGGACGCGGCTGGCATTCGCTTCGGAAACGGCACTAAACGTTCCGCTGCCGCAGGCGGGGCACAAAATAGCCGTCTTCTCCCAAGAAAACGATTCCGCAAACGCCCAACTTCCGCCTGATATCGACCGGAGGAAAAAAAGAAAAGGACACAAGGGAAGAGATTCGAAAACACAAGATGAGAAGAGACGTGTGTTGCTAACCCTAAGCGTTGGTTCGTACATTTGCGTTTTGTTGTGCTCCAGTGCGTTGCAAATGCCCTCGTAACCGCTCAACACACTAGACCACTCGCGCCATCTATCGGAGAGGCCTGGAGCGCTTCTAACCTGTCTGTACCTAGAGTAAAAATATTGCAGTATTTAGATCCATGGCTGCGCACTTTCTTTGAGTAGTGGTCGCGTATAACATTGTTAGAGTTATTTAAAGCCCGTGGTGAAAGAATGGTCCATACGAAGATAGAAAATAGACGCCGACGGGCAGAGTTCTGGGGACACCCAATAGGTGACGCCTGTTACGCTCCAAAAGCAAGCGCTCTAAACCAGTGTTTACTCACTCGTATGCCTGGAGACAGTGCGCTGCGACGTTTGGCAAGACGGCATAAGGTGTTCCGAAAGAAGCTCGGCATGCAAGGTGGTATCTCAAAT